ACCCCTAGAATGGAAAAATATAGGGATAAGTCCACCCCTAAAATTCTTTCTTTGAGATACCCCCCTGGAGGGGCAAAAGTACTATTGTGCCCTTATTTATAATTTTTGCCCAACTGCATTCAGCATTTTGACAACTGCATTCAGCATAATAGCCAACTGCATTCAGCATTTTGCCAACTGCATTCAATATAATAGCCAACTGCATTTAGTATTTTTGGAGCTGCATTTATCATTTTTCAGAATTTTTAATAAAAAATTATAATTTTTTATTTTATTATTATTATTCATTTTTTTTATTATTTATTTTAAATTTTTTTATTTTTAAAAATTTTCATATTTTCTAATTATTTACTTTTTTTAATTATTTTTTTTATTTTTTTATTTTTTTAATTTTTAATTTTTTTTTTTAAATTTTTTTTATTTTAAAAAATATTTTTTCTATAAAATTTCCTGTACATAACTTGACTACATGTGACTATAGTATATATAGTCACGTACCTTAGTTATATATAGTCGACCGACTATGTATACCGCTAATTATATACAAAAAGGAACTTCATCGACACCAACAACAAAAATCACAATTTAATTATTGATATTATAAATCAACTTGTACAAATATAGATCGAAATAAATATTGATATTATATATCAAATTGTACAAATATAGATCGAAATACACAATCACATGCATATGTTCTTCAATAAAGAACAAAATCATCATCATCACTCAATATTAAAAACACACATAACCCAGACATGACTACATGTTACTATATGTTACTATATATGACTATAGTAACATGTAGTCATGTTACTATATGTTACTATATATGACTATAGTAACATATAGTCAGGTTACCATATATGTAGTAATGTTACTATATATGACTATAGTAACATATAGTCATGTTACCATATATGACTATATTAACATGTAGTAAAACACTTCTCCCCGTCATTTCTTACTGTATAGAAGTGGCAAAAACAACAATCCCTGTAGCAAAGAAAATTTCAGTTAGAGAAAACGAAAAGCAAAAAGTCTTGCGACAAAAAAAATACGAGTTAAAGAGAAAAATGGAACATGCGAGTTAGATTAAACGAAAAATACAAAAAAAATGTTAATTTTTTGTACTGAAATCGACTACAAATGACTATAGTATACTACAAATTCTATAGTCATATATAGTTATATGTAGCCATGACTACATATGATTGTATATGACTACATATAATTGTACATTCACCTGACTCTAATCACCCAACTACTGATTAAGTTTCTACTACTGATAAACAAAGCCCTCTCACTTAAAGCATTTCGCATCATCTTCAAATAGTAGATCTAGTTTGAGCTCTCCATCAACCAAAAAAGAGATTTGCAGATAAAACAATTTTAAAAGGCCAAGATCTACCACTGTCTAAGTACTATATCATATATACCAAATATATGTTTAATTTCCAAATAACCTGACCCCATTCAATATCGGAGTCCAAAATATTTCTACTGTTTAACAATTGGCATGCCATGCCAATTTTACAGACTTATTTTTAAAGCCTAAGCTTTAACCAGAAGAAAACTTACATTAATTAAAAGATGATTTGTTTTATTTTAACAGAGAATACCTTCCCAAGCCTCTGCCGCCCGTCATCAACCTCATCTGTTGTGCATCTTCTTCGTCAGGGCCAGATCTACCGAGAAAGAGTTTTATGGATAAGCGAAGCCTTATCCATAACCTTCAGCACAAAAAAAACACCGATTTGTTCCTAGCGAAGCAAGAATATGAGCAGGCGAGTCGATTCTCTTCTTCGACTTGTTCTCCGTTCGTCGCCGGAGACTTTTCTGTTTTTTTTTTTTTTTTTTTTTTGGCGATAGAGTTAGAGAGACGAAGAGAACGAGAGATGAAGAGAGGGAGAGGGGAAGAGATAAAGTGGCGGTTGTTGTGGGTGTGAAAGAATGAGAAGATTAGGGTAAATTGAAATTAAAAGGGCAAAACTGGTAATTCAAGTTACACAGGGGGGTCTCACTAATTAAGATTGAAATTTGGGTTTTTAACTAAGACAAAATAATTCATTGGACTTCCTCATATATATTTTCAAAACTAGGGGGTTATCACTCATTTACCCTAAATAGATTCCATATAATATCCATTTTGTAATGACCATTCACCTTTAGAGTCTAACAGTAAGGTTTGCAAAATAATTCTACTCTTATTTTTTTTAATTTTAATTTTTAGATTATGTGTACGGACTTACATTGCATGATGGCCAAATGTAAGAAAGCAGAAAATTGAATAAAAGACCTTTTGCTCTCTTTCATTTGATTATTTTTACAAATGGGTATTTTAGACGATTACTACATTCAATTAGGTTTTTCTTGCAGTCCGTTAGTTTCAGGAGATGCTCGTAATTATAGAAACAAGGAATTTTTTTTCGTAATTAGGCGCTATCTCAGACATCCTTCTAATTTGCCCTAATATGTATGACACATAGATGAAAATTAAGAAAAATATTACGAAAGATAGAATCATGGGCTTGAGTCTCTAAATTAAAAAAAAAAACCGAACGTGCAATATTTTTTATCTACATATAATATATGTGGTTATATTCGAATGCTTATATAACATATAAAATATTTATATTTTAAATGCAAAATTAAATCCTCATGAATGTAGTTATCTAATTATATTCCTCCTACGAATGCAAAAATTCATTCGTGTCCGACCAATATTCCACGTGGCAGTCACTAACAGGAGAACATACATGGGTCCCACCTCCAGCCAATAAGCAGCCGAAACGTAAGGAACGGCGTAAGTGAGGCGAAGCAGAACCAATCTGGACCGTAAATCGAAGAAGGAATCGGGGCTGTATGATATGATTGACGGCTCACAGCGTCAGTGCGGAGACATGTGCCCTGCAGGTGCGTCACACGCCGCCGTAGCCCTATCCTCATAATTTCGATGCTTGCGTGTATATATATTGCGTGGGAAATTTATACACCAAAATACATTTTGTATCTATCTATCTTTTCTTTTTCGAAAAAAAAAAATATTCCGTTGGAAATCAACTATTGTCAATGTTTTTTTCACAAAGATTAAAACACTAAAAACGTAACACGAATAACAAAAAATGGATGGGTCAAAATGCGAGTTTTAGTATACAATCTTTTCAATTAATTTTTTCCTATTCTAGACTTGATTTTTTTTTCTAATTAATAACTATAAGTTGTTAAGAAAAAAATGCACCTTTAACCAAAAGAAGAATACTGGGTAAAAAGGGGAATGTGTACTTTCTTTGCAAAAACAAATTATGCTGAGATTACTCTAAAAACTAATTAATCCAATTGGGTTTAGTATTAAAAGAAAATGAGTGGGCCCAAATGTTTTGGAAGAGAAAATCTCAGTGGGTTGATTTAAGTTTCAGCCCCACAAACGCACTAGTAATTGCTACTGTTTATGGTCTTTATTTAATTTAAATATCTCACTATCTAACTTTATCCCATTGTCAACTCTCAATCCTGTCACAATATTTATTAATTAATAAATACAGGTGCAAGTCATTCACACCTACACAATTCTCACTTTTTTCACAACTCATTCCCTTAATTTATTTAATTTTCAATTATTTCATTATTATTAAAATGAGTAATTAGTTTTTGAGAATAATTGCTCAACTTTACAGATTGCAGCAGTTCAATTAAGAAAATAAAAAAATAATCCTCCAACTATTGAACTAGCAAAGACCAACCTAAATCATCAAGATCGATTTCATAAATCAAGGCTCGAGTTAGGAGCTAATATCCCGAATTTCCCGAGCATATAACTTTTATTACGGAGTCAAAATGCGCAGTCCTATCCATAATAGTGCACAGATATTAGATTTTTTAGATACTACACCGGGTAATATATAGCGAACATAATCAAATCATAGTTTCATACGCACAGTGTAATGGTGTAAAATGACCAATGCGGTGAAATCTTACGCAACGAAGTTCACCGAGCATAGAATAAAATAAAAATAACATGAGACACAATGGTGTATCTATCTCCACGTACCCACGTCATAGAGACACGTATAGATTCACACCAACAATATAAATTCGAATATAAGCATCCCAATGTAACTTTAAAAAAAGTGTTGGTGCTGACGGCATATGTCAAAAGATATCCATGTACTAGCATAAGTCCCTCAAGTCAATTTATTTCAA